GATGCATTGGTTGCTTTTTGGGAATTTGCATCATTGTCTCTTGTGCTGAATCACACATGAATGTTGGTTCAGGAAAAATTGCTCTACTTCGAGGAAATGAGACATTGTTGCAAGCAAATAAGAGGTTAACTGAAGAAAGGGAGAACTTGTTGAAGAACAAAGAATTGATGGATGGCCAAATAAATGCATTGACTAAATCCTTAGAAGTTTGCAGAAAGATCTTAAAGACAAGGAGAACCTGGTAGTTCCGTCTTAATCCTGAAAGACTGTCCATCAGTTAATATGTTTAACGACGTACTAATTATTATAACTTTCAGGTTCAAGCTATGAAGCAGTCTCTTGAGCACCAAAAACAGGAACTTGATGGTTGCAGGGCTGAGATCACTTCACTGAAAATGCATATTGAAGGGTCTCGATCTGGAAAGAATTTGGCAGCCAGTGACGCTGACCATGTCCAACCTATGTCTTTAGAAAACTACAAGGAAGAAATCAAGAAATTGCAGATGGAAGTTGAATATTTGAAAGCAAAGAAAGTAACAGCTCTTGAATCTGCTATTTGGTTAGTTCTGAAAATGAAATTACTCAGAGAGAAGACAAAATTATTGAGATACATGAGGACAAAAGTTCAATCTCTTGTCCTGTTGAAGTAGCCTCAGGAGATGTACACAATGAAGGCACTCAATCATTTGATGGCCACAGTCATAATGACTGTATAGATAAACGTGAAGATGCATTGCATGACTCACTGAATCTTCCAAATGTAAACAGTGCTTTAGGGAATGGGGAAACTATCTTGGAACACAACGGTGGGCTGCAAGCAGAGAATAGCAGGTTGTTTCTTAAATCAGATGGTGTAAATGACGAAGCAGTGTCTGAAAAGATGGCAAGTATTGGCTATGTTTTGGAAAATTTTCCTGTATTGTTGCCTTTTTATATATGTTCTCTTTTTCACTGAATTTGGTGATATGAATTGCTAGGATGGTTTCATTTTGGGCTTTTTCTTGATTTAAAAGTGGCATGATGGTGTTGTAATGGTTGGTCTTCATTGTCAATGATGTAGTGCTTAGCAATAATCAGCCTTCAAGAATGATAAATAATAAAACCGAATAAGGAAATTCAGAATGACAAGATTTTATCATATGTTTACTGATTGTATAATATTATTATTCATTTCATCTTATATGTTTATAATTTAACAGGGATTAGGAACCATTCAAATACTTGCGGATGCTTTGCCTAAAATTGTTCCATATGTGTTGATCAACCACCGTGAGGTAGGTTTGCTAATTATGTCTTACTTCATTTATTCTTGTAGAACCTTCTACTTTACATTTGTAAATTGCTTGCTTGCAGGAGCTCCTTCCCCTAATAATGTGTGCGATAGAGCGCCACCCTGATAGTGGCACTCGAGATTCTTTGACCCACACATTGTTTAATTTGATCAAACGTCCTGATGAACAACAAAGGCAAATAATAATGGATGTGAGTTATTATTTTTTGTTTTTCTTGGTGAAGGTTATTGTATTTCCTTCACTGTCTTCAATGGTTATGGTTCTAAAGAAGTAACACAGGTTGCCTTGTCATCATTTTAGGCATGTGTAAGCCTTGCCAAGAATGTTGGAGAGATGAGAACAGAGACAGAATTGCTTCCTCAATGCTGGGAACAAGTAAATTTTTGTCTGAATCTTCAAATCTTCATTTTGCCATTCTGCCCGTAGAGCTATTTTTATAGATTTTTGGTGTTGTGGATTTTAGATTAATCACATGTACGAGGAGCGTAGGCTGCTTGTTGCTCAATCATGTGGAGAGCTCGCAGAGTTTGTTCGCCCTGAGATTCGCGATTCTTTGATCTTGTCTATTGTACAGCAACTAGTAGAAGATGCCGCCACTGTTGTTCGAGAGGCTGCAGCTCATAATTTGGCTTTGCTGCTCCCACTTTTCCCAAACACGGGTAAATATTTCAAGGTCAGCCTCACTATATATGCTTCGAGGCAATCATGGAGAAGATTTCTGACTTGAGAGAATTTGCTACAATGTAAGCTCTAGAACAGGTTGATGAGACATGGTCTAGGGAATGGAGCCTTTTACCCTTACAAGATATAACAACTTCTAAGGAAAAAGAAGAGTAAAGATGAGAAGTCAGTTCAATTTTTTGTTTTTATGTTTTGACAGGTGGAGGAGTTGATGTTCCAATTGATCTGTGACCCTTCAGGAGTGGTGGTGGAAATTACTCTCAATGAATTGGTCCCTGCAGTTTTAAAGTGGGGAGACAAATTGGATCATGTTTTAAGAGTTTTACTATCTCATTTGTTAAGCTCTGCTCAGGTATGCTTGCTCTTTTGCACTGTTGCTACTCACGACGGAGAACTTCATCCTCATTTGCAATTGTTTTACTCAAAGGAATTTGGTTCATCGAACATTGCAGCGTTGTCCACCACTTTCTGGTGTTGAAGGGTCTGTAGAGTCAAATCTCCGTGTATTGGGTGAAAGAGAGCGCTGGAATATAGATGTTCTATTGAGACTGTTAGTGGCGTTACTTCCTTCTGTGCACCAGAAAGCAATAGAGACATGCCCCTTTTCCACCACTGCAGAAACTACACAAACTGTGTTATCTACCTCAATGCTTGAATTGTATGCTAGGTAAGCTTTGCAAAAAGTCTAGCTGCTGAAATATTTCATTTTGACGTTTGTAAATCTTTGTCAATGGCTTTGGGTTCACAATGTTACTTCCTCTAACTCTTTAGGGGTCTATTTGGGAGAAGGGAAAAAAGCAGCAGTGGACCAGAACATTCCCCTCCCTTGTCCCCTCTTACTGTCTTCTAGTCTTCCTGCACCTTTAATTTCTCTAGAACTAGCTGTTCAAGAGAGGGGTGATGATCACTCCTGCAAGTATACAGAATCGGTGTAGTAAAAATCTGAGGTTGTACCTACAAGGACGTTGCGTTTTTACTGATCCAGATAATTAATAATTTGAGGAAATGAGATAAAGTAAATTATTTGGTGATATGTAGAAAATATTTAAAGAAAAGTAAAAATACTTGAAGTGTTGGGGTTTAGGATTCACTCTAAAAGTTGCTAATTTCTACCTCTTGTGTTGACTCTTAATTAATTATAGTGACAACTATTTTTAAAGTATCTTAATATCATCCCAAATTTCTAGTTTGTATTCAATTAGAGTTGAATTTGTTTCTATGATACCTGAAAAACTACTTAAATCGTGAAGCAATAGCTTTGAGTGACCACAAATCTCTATACTTATCCCTAGCCTAAATATTTGTGTCTGCTTCTCTAGATCTAGGTTCTCTCTTTACCTCTCAATTCATCAAGATCATCCATATAATTGATTTAATGGTGGCACTCAAGTGGGATGGAAAACCCTTTCCCGAAAGCTACTCATTAAGGTGGGAGAACCAATCTTTTTAAAACACTCCATATAGGATTCCATATTACTCAACTTGGGACTTATCATTCCATGTCAACAAAGTCTCCTTAACGCACCTCCTTCACTACGCTACTTATCTAGTGGTTTCCATTTTTTGCCAGTGGACGTGTTGAGTGGGCTTCATTTGAATGGATGCATGTTGAGTGCTTTCCTAATTTAATTCAGTTGGCTTGCATGTTATCACATAAAGAAGACAACTTACGGAGCCGAATTTCTAAGGTTACTCTGTATACTTTTCACTTCTTCTGTTGTGCTTTGTCTGATCTGGAGCTCCTGTATTTGAACTGCAATTAATGAATTTTGTGTGAATGCAGTTTCTGTTGGCTGTCTCTGAAAAGTTTGGGGATTCCTACCTAACATGCATAATGCTGCCTGTATTCTTAATAGCAGTAGGGGATGATGCGGATTTGACATTTTTCCTAGTGCCATCCATTCAAGAATTAAAGGTATTCATCAAGGAGAAAACTGCATTGATGTTTGTCAAGCATTGTGCATTCCTCTCGCTGTATTCCCAAGGAAATTTTGTGATTTCAAAAGTTTCATTTTCCAAGTTTGTTCTCTTTGTAACCGTGCGTCATTAGAGAATAACCAGACTTGAAAATAATGCCAATCTCTATGACATGTGAATGCTCAATCATAAACTAGTCAATGACATAATAACCATAAATAAAACTGATTTTTTTTATGGAGTTATTACTTATATTTCTAATTTTACTGACAATTCAATTGTAGGGAATAGCTACTCAAATCTGAATGTGAAGATTTTGTTAGAAAAAGTGGTTAAGAGTGTCTGTCTCTTTGGCCACTTCACAATAATTTTGCCAGATCATCAAATGATTGGTGATATTATGACATTGTTGCTTTCTATTTTCCAACGGTTGGTTGCAGGTTTAAGACCAAGATCTGCTATTGCTGAGAGGCTGTCTACAATGTGTGTCCTTCCCCTTTTGTTGGCTGGTGTTTTGGGTGCTCCAGCCAAACATGAACAATTATTAGAGTACTTGAGGAAGTTGCTGGTGGAAGACACTTCCAAGGAGCACCAGTCAACTAGGCACATTCCTGAGATTATTGAAGCTGTTCGCTTCCTTTGGTATGCTTATCACCAATTTTGGTGCCACAGATCTTAAATTGATTGTCTATCTTCAATGTTTTAATCTCAAGCTTTTTATACGATGCAGCATATATGAAGAAAACCATGGAATGATCATTAATATACTATGGGAAATGGTTGTTATCTCTAACATTAACATGAAAATAAGTGCTGCCAAGCTGCTGAAAGTTATTGTAAGCTTATTATTTACTTTGTTTCCTGGTTCATCTGATGTAGATGTCAAAGCTTATATATCTGTCTGCCTGTCTTCATGATAGGTACCATATATTGATGCAAAGGTTGCTTCAACGCAAGTTTTGCCTGCCTTAGTTACTCTTGGATCTGATCAGAATCTAAATGTGAAGTATGCCAGTATAGACGCCTTTGGTGCTGTGGCCCAGCACTTCAAAAATGAGATGGTACCTTTTACTTCTTCTCACCGTTGCTTTTAAAGTTATATTATTAAAGGCAATGCACCATTAACTTCAAACTTCCTAACCATATTTGGTGTGTTCTAGATTGTTGATAAGATTCGCATTCAAATGGATGCTTTTCTTGAAGATGGATCCCATGAAGCTACTATTGCTGTTATCCGTGCCTTGGTGGTTGCAGTACCCCATACAACAGAAAAACTAAGAGATTATATCCTTAAACTTATTTTATGGGAAAGATTATTTCAGAACAGTTTTAATTTTCCTGAATTTGATGTCTCATTCTCTTAAAGCAGTTGCATTCAGCAGGCTTTCGGGGTTATGCGTTTGTTTCTTTAACATTATATACATCTTTTGTCCAAGATTTTCCAGCTGACATCCATGCCAACTTCTACAACTGATTTGATGCGTCGAAGGGAGAAAGCCAATGCATTCTGTGAGGCTATCCGTGCTCTGGATGCTGCAGGTTCGTTCTTTGAAAAGTTGTCACTTCTACTTTCATCTCTCTTCTGAGGGTAATTTTTTTTCTCAAGTCAAACTTTTCTAGTGCAACAGTGCTGTTCGGTTCCTCTTAAAAAATTCATGAGCCCACCACCAAACAAAAAAGATGAAAAAAAATGTTTGTCCATCAGTCATCTAGTTGACTGTACAGTTCCTCCTGTGTCATCTAATTTTTCAATATGGTGGGCAAATCCACTGCTCATACTCTAGCATTCGCCCTTGAGGAAGGAATTTATTGGCTCAACTTCCTTTTGTTCAATATAATGTATTAAATGACAATTTTTGAAATTTACAATCCTGATTCCCTTATTTCAAGTTCCTATGTCATATAACATGTTTCCATTTCACTTTATTTTTTTCGTTCATCGAATTTGTTGTTAATCCTTCAAAATGCAGCCATTCCCTAAATAATGACATGCCCTTGTAAAGTCCAATTTCATGCACTATTGATTATTTTAAGAAGCATGCCTTATAAGGATGCTTCAATGGGCAATGAATATAATTTTCATGCAATCATCGTTGAATAATATTTATCGTTTTAATTTTAAAGCAGGGAGGGATAAATAGGTCATTTTTGTTCTCAAAATTTGAATTTTTTTCCTTTCTTATAATTTCGTTTGTTCTTTATTTTCTCATGGAAACTTGATATTTTGCTGATGTGGTAGGATATCTTTCTTCCCCAACATATTTCTAATCACTCACTGTCTCCTGCAGATCTTCCTGTGGCTAGTGTCCGAGACTTCCTCCTCCCTGCCATTCAGAACCTGTTAAAGGATTTGGATGCATTGGATCCAGCACATAAAGAAGCCCTTGAAATAATTTTGAAGGAAAGATCGGGGGGAGCTTTTGACACTATAAGTAAGGTGATGGGTGCTCATATTGGACTTTCATCCGGACTTTCATCAGTGAGCAGCTTCTTTGGTGAGGGTGGATTACTTGGAAAGAAAGAAACTACAGAAGCAGCTACAGAAGCCCCTCCATCTCCACGGGCAGTCCCAACCACGGCCGCAGCGGTGGCAGCAGTCGAGGACACTAGATTCAGGCGCATCATGCTGGGAAACTTTGGGGATATGCTCCGTGGCAAAGGCAAAACCCTGGACGATTCTCAGCCCCAATAGGATTCATTTCTGCATCATAATTTCTGCCCATTCATTTACTCAAGGTGACGGTAGATATTTTCCCTTGTCAAAACTTCTTCCTGGAAACTCGAGCAGCATTATTTTTTTAATTCGTTATTCCTTATGTAGTTATTCTTCTTATAGGGTAGATAAATGGAAAGACATTAAACGAAAGGAAGAGAGAGAGAAAAAAAAAAAGGTATTCAAATTTTGTTTTTGCCTTGGATGTGTCGTAGGAGTTGTGTGAGTTAGAAAGGACGCAGGAGATGAGCGGAACGGAGGGTGCAATCTGTACATGGATAACATGGATGCGCTTGATCTTTATTATATTTGCTAGTCTTTCATGTCTTATAAATTTATTAAATCTAAGACCTATTTTATAGTGCAATTTGTGTTATAAAATAGATTTTATATTTATAATCAAAAGAATAACATTTTTCTTTTCTCCATGTTTGTTAGCGTGGGATGTGTAACTCCTTCATGATCTTAAACATACATACCTGCATATATACACACACATATACTTATTTATGCATACCTTAGAATTTATGAAGAAAAATAATCTTTTAGACAGTAGTTTTGACTTGTTGTCATTGAATCCTTGAACTTTTAATTTTATTGTAACTTAGTTTCTATAATTTTAATTATTTAAAACTTTAGTTACTAAATTTTATTAAATATATAATCTTATTTTTTAAAATATAGGAATTAAAGTTATTGATGATTAAAACTATAAAGATTGAGTTGTGGTGAACTAAAGTTTAGAAGTACAAAATTAGAGTTGTTGACATTAAGAGCCTGTTTGGTAACATTCCAAACTATGATTTGGAGACCTAAACCATGGTTTGGGTAAAAAAAGTTGCCAAACAGGGGACAAAATTAACAAATCATGATTTGGGACTAAAATCATGGTTTTAGAAAAAGTGAATCTATTTTGCTTATGACTCAAATTGAAGAGTATGATTATACCTGTTAGAGTAGATCTTAACGATAATATGACTTTAATATCTCTCAATTATTTTTTTATAAACATATTTAATCTTATATTTTATAAACATATATACACATATTAATTATTTATTAATTACGTTATCTTATATGTCATTAATTATGTTGGTAAAAAAAATATTATTAACAATTTTATTTTTTCAAATTAAAATATATTATAAAATCTATCTTTTATGTAATTATCATATTAATTTATGCTTTTTTAGTAATTAGCACATATAAAAAGTGCTTCTGATAATAGTTATCTAAACACTCTTACTTTATTAGAATCACTTCTTCACAAAATCTATTTTTTCAAAAATCTATTCTCCAGAAGCTATTCCCCAAACCATGGTCTGGTTTTATCCAAACACTCCCTAGGTTACAATGCATTGTAGGAATCACAAGTTTAATTTTCCTATTTATGAATTATCTGTTCATGTCTTAAATTTCGTATAGCCTTGATCTTGAATCAATAATTCAATAGACAATAATAATATTAATACTGATGGTTCGGTTAAGCATTAACGTGACCAAATGATGCTGCAGATGGAATTGGGAATTATTTTATCCATAAAATAAGAGTACAAGCGATATGGAAATAAAGTAGAAGAACTTGTGGTACAATTTGCGCACATAATTTTCCACTTCAAATTTTTGTTGCAGACATTGTCTGGGGAAATTAATTATTTGATCACTATGTGAGAATTTTAAGGTTTTGCATCCACATAAGATGATCATATGCGGTGAGAAGCATATTGATTATTTGGATTATGAATTTGTCCGGGAGAAATACACAGTTGCTGAAAGATATTTTAAGGGAATATAAATTGCACTTAGATTAGGATTGAAATTTTTTTTAACTGAGTTGAATCCAAAACTATAATTTTTTCCTGAAATAAAATAATATACTCGATAAATTTTTATAAATGATGAAAAGTTTATGGAAAAAGTACATAAAAAATTGTATCCTTCATCCGTTTCTATTCGTAAGACAAAATTCTATACCGATTAAACTAATTAACTAATTCATGTGTCAATAAACCTACTTTTATTTTTCTTAGTTCCATACTTATTCAATGCTCACTTTATTTGCTAACATTTAATGGGGGGGGGGAAAAGATAACATTTGTAACAAATCATGTATACATTATATACTGGGAAAAAATATTAAATATTAAATATTTTTTCAAATTTTGTAATTTGTCTTATAAATAGATACAAATGAATCTAATTTATAATGCATAGGCCTTATGACTTTGACCCACAGGTCATTTTTATATGGCTAATCGGACTTGTTTGATGGCAAGTTTCAAAATATTTTTAATGATTATCTAGTTGATGATCCAGAACTGATATGCACTTCTTTGGTTCTATTCCAATTTGAATATTTCATTCTAGGGAAACCCAGAACGCCAAAGGTAGCTAGCTCACTCAACTCACCACAGAAGCCAGTAAGGCAAATGTTCAACTGCACAATTCCAAAGTATGACGGACTCTGGAGCAGTAGGATCCGATTTTTCCCTCCAGATTCCCAAGACCCCTATGAATTAGAGACACAGTACTTCATCAAGATTATCCTTTTAATTATACTCAGAAAATGGCAGAACAGATTTTGAATGAGTCAAATGAATTTGAATACAAGCTCTGGGCTAAGAAAAAGGAAAGAAAAGACTGTTTTCAATCTCCCATATAACTAGGAACCTATCTACAAGTACAGGCAGTGAAGGAACATGCTTTACAAAAGTTCAAACTACTTTCTCAAAGTATCTAGTTTTGTGTCACACTCATCTGGTATCATAATATCTTGCTTCATGCCATGTCTTACTTTAGTTAAAAAAATTAAATAGGTGTAAAATTTGGAAGAAAACATGACCAACATTTGAAGATCCATGTGAATTTCAAATTTTGCAATAATGTTCAGGAGATCTTCAAGAATCGCTATTGATGGTTCTTGAAGCTGATTATAGGTATACATAGAATCACCTTGAAAGATATTTCCTCTAAAATTTTTTGACCATGTCCCTCGTTTTCTTGAGCATATATATATATTTCCTTATGTTTGGTTTCCAAGGGTGGATACCATTTAAGGCGGCACAGTTGCCACGACACTGAACGCAACACAGGTGTCAGTGTCAGCTAATTGCTTCACTCAAACCCATCTCTGCATCCCCATGTGGGGGACTTTAATTACTCCTCCATTACTTTCACTTACCCCCCAAAACCCAACTAAACCAAACCCATTCCTCTTCTATAAATTGCTTCTCACTTCCCTACCCTCAAATCACACAACAACTAAATCAGTCTCTCAGACTAAGACCATCAAGAATCAATAATGATGATGAAGGAGAAGAAGGTTTCTGCAGCTGTGGCTGTGTTGGCCATTGTGATGCTTCTTCTTGTTGAGGCTCCAAAGCCACACATGGGTCAGGGCGTCTCTTGCAGCCCTCTTGAGTTGAGCTCTTGCCTTGGCTCCATCACTTCATCTTCTCCACCTTCAACCACTTGCTGCCAGAAGGTAACTAACCTATGCCGCAGTAAACAGAATCATGCATCTTTCTCATCAAATTACTACTAGCTTAGCTTTTAATATAAGAGTTAGTTAGGAGTTGAATTAGTCCTATATATAAAACTTCAATCAATTTTAGCTCCCACGTTTTTTTTACCAAAATATCCCCGGATAATTCCAATACACATGATTAAAGTAGTTTAAAGAAGCAATTAACCAATTTAACTAATTGTCTTAATCTCTTTAAATTAGTTCTCATTGTCACTTAATCTTTAGTGGATGCAAGTGTGTTTTTGTAAATGATCTGCAAGTTTGTGTGTTGATTTTGGTTCAGGTGAGGGAGCAGAGGCCATGTCTGTGTCAATACCTGCAAAATCCAAGTCTGAGGCAATATGTGAACAGTCCAGGTGCCAGAAGGGTTGCTACTTCCTGTGGAGTTCCATATCCAACTTGCTAATTAGCTTTCATTTTAATTATATTTGTGTATTAATGCAAGTATATGGTACTGTTATACTTGCAGCCTGCAATTTATTAGTGTATTAATTAGGTGGGGTATGTGTATTAATGCTCCATGCATGAGTAATTGATGCTGTTCAACTGAAATAGGTACTGATCTGTGGTGATATGGGAGCAGTGAAAATTTATACCATGAGGGGCATGCGCCTGTGGCTCTGTTCTGTATTATGATTAATAGATGGATAGAAATATATATTGTTAATCATAGAGTATTATATATATTCGAGTGTCAGTTTTATTTCTTTTAACATTAATTAATATTGTTCAAATTAAATTAGGAAAAAAAAATCCATAATCAAGGCTCCATAATTCACCTTCGTTTTCAATTTAGTCCTTTCAGCTTACTTCTTGTTTTTATTCCCCACCAATCGCCACCTGTAGATTTCAATCGTTATGATCTTAATCCTATACCTTTTAAATGTCTACAATACAGTCCCTAACGCAGTAAAAAGAGAGAGAGAAAAAAAACTTTTAATAAGATCTAATTGGTAAGTTGATGTTGGTGTTATATGTAAGATTTATTTTATATATTTGTCAATTTTTTTTCCTTAAATTAATCTTATTAATATTTTTTTAACAATAATCAAATAAGAAAAGGGAGGAGAAAATCGAGAAAAATATTGAGGGTGATTTAAAGAATATATCATATTAATTAATTTAACTAATATTTTTAATTTGTTTAAATTAGTTTAAAAAAATAGTGAAAGAGAAACTAACATGGTGCTTAAATGAATGGGACACCTAACCTGACATGATGACTTCAAGCGTCTCTTTCTTTGATCATGGCCATCATTTCTTTTGCACATCTCTAGTTTTTCCCTAGCTATTTTTATTTTATTATCTCTCTTCTTCTTTTTTTCTTTTTTCTTTTTTAAGTTTTGCTTTCATTTTTCTTCTTCTTACTGATCTCTAATTTTTTTTGTTCTACTCAATTTACTCATTTACAGAAGAATATTTGATTAGATTGACAAATTTGTATTGTATTAATTTATCTAATTATATTATATTTTAAAGAAGATGTTATAATAATGAGCTTGTCTGATCTCCGAAAAAAATACATATTTGAGATTTAACATAATAGTATTCTGAAATTTAATTATTTAAAATTAATGTTATGATTGGAGTTAAATAGGAAAAATGACAGAAAATGCATGTTGAAAAAATTTCAGTTTAAAAATCCTATTCTTGTAACGAAATTAACAACTCCATTAACACCATTAGCAACTCTCATAACACCATTAACAATGTGATCCAAAAGTTTTTTATACTTTGAGAGATTAATCATGGCATAATAAATGAAAATTTTTTCAAGTTCTGTGATGCGGTTAACAAGTTCGGTATCACTATTAACAATAAGTTTTTTATGAAATTCAAAAAATGACATTTTTATAACTTTATTAATACTGTTAACAAGTTGTGTCATAATATTAACAATTCTCACAATGTCGGAGCTCTAGTGACTGATCATCAGAAGTTATGATGACTAGCAGCCCACTAAACTCTGGCATTGGCTACCGGTGTTGGAGCTCCAGTAGTTGGCAAGGCAATGAGGGGGACCTAAGATTGTTTTTAAAAAATTTATAAGGCTAATATGGTCATTTTATCAAATTATAAAATCTCCCATTTAATCATTTGTGTCTAAATGGGAATTTTTCTTATTTAGATGAATACTTAGATATTTTCAAATTCAACCATCATTTTTCTTAGTTAAATATGTCGGAATTATCATCATTTGAAGTAAATTTTATTTTCATAGTACGTTGTACACCATGCGGCAAACCATACCAATTTTGATGTGCAACTTTTCAACAGTGCCCAACGCCTTTTTTTTTTTTGTGATTAGTTTGCTACATGGGAAATGTTATAGGGGGAGTTACAATTAAGTCTCACAAAAGAGAAATAATTACCAAAAAGTCTAAATAACAACCTTAACAATTTATAATAGCAAGTCCTATAGTGATAATCACAACCTCTAGAACTTGTTTTTTAATTGTTTTCCTTACTTAGGACCTCATTGTAATTCTCTTAATGTTATATCAGCAAACTTGTATTGTATTCTAGGTTTTTTTTTTCCCCCTAATGGATACTTTCTATGTCTGTTAATCAGAACAGTACTTACAACATCACCAATACCTACGTTTTATAAAGGAAAAACTAATTTTAGTGTCCTTATAGTTCCATTTAATTTTAATTGAGTCTTTTAAGTTTGTGCCGTTAACTCTGTTAGTCCGTCGTCTTTAAAACTTTTAAATAGAGACTAACAATTTTAACTGATTCCAAATCCTGGCGCTCCTCCTCGATCGTTGGTACTGAAAAAATTGTTTTCTAATTTTCTTTTTCATGAAAATGCTTAGTGAGCATCCTAGTCGTCTAAATAATTTAATTATTTGCCACATCAGCGGTTAGACTCTATTTAACGGATTTAAAGAAGAGAGACTAACGGAGTTGACGGCGCAGACTTAAAGAATCCAATAAAAAAAAGGCTTAAAGACCTAATTCAAAATTAAATGAAACTGTAAGGACATTCAAATTAGTTTTTTTTTTGAAGTGGCTGTGAAAAGATTTTTAGAGCTGATATAAAAAGTATCTACGAGAAATTACATGTTTAATCTTGTTTAAAATCTTAAATTATTAGTGCTTATCTTTGTAAATAATAATACTACTTCTAATTCTTAATATAAGAGTTAGTTTGACTTTTAATTTAGTCTTAAATATAAGACTCTAATTCACTTTGTCCCTCATTTATCTATTTTTTTCAAAGTAGTCGTTGTAGTAGTTGCACATGGTAAACATTCCATTCAATGATAGTTCTAACTAATACACATGATTAACAAGAATATTTTATGAAAGATAACACATATTTATTCCAAATAACTAACACACATATTTATTACAAATAACTAACTTAACAAACTTTCTTGATTTACTCAAATTAGTCAACCAACTCTTATATGTATTGTCTTTCCTAAAATATCCTTGCTAATCAAGTGTATTGATTAGAACTATCATTGTTAGAAGAGCTACTTTAGAAAAAAAAATCTATAAATATGAGAGACAAAATAAAGTGAGGTTTTATATTTAGGACTAAAATAAAAATCAAACAGGATCTTATATTAAAGACTGGAAGTAATATTAAGCATCGGAGGTAGTAATAAAAAAAGAGCTCATGAGTCATGCCATTGTGACGTGCATGTGAATGGGCCGGCAGGGGAGTAAATTACAAATGCTTACTGAAATTATATGGATTGATTCTTCAACCAATAAAAACTACAGGCATGAGATTTTTTTTTTTTTTTGAGATAAAGGCAAAATGATACAACCTCTTCTCCTAATTAAAAGACTTCGTTTATAAACTACAAACAAGATCTTATAATTATACTAGAGGTAGTATTAAATAACACTAATGAAGTTACAAAGGAGCAGAAACAGGCATAAGAAATATAAAGGGTAGAAAGAGAAACATTTTGGCATTTGTTTATTTATGGATAATATAGTTTAAGAGGAGGAGAATAATTTTGATTAATGTATATGTTTGGCCAGTTGTACAGACAAATGTGAGAAAATTTTTCTTTGATAAAAGGATTATTTAATTCAATCTAAGTAAAACGATTAAATAAAAAAAAAAAACCCGTAGTCGTATATTCAGTCAATTTGAATACGTATGTGTTGGGAGTTGTATTTACAAATATGGATACACATGTGCATACTCGTGTGCCCACGTAAAATTATACACATGTGCCCGTGAACAGGGATACATCCCCTATCTTCCATATATAAATGCTTAGCTTGTAAATATTTTTTATATTAATTTCTGTCATTCATATAATAAATAAATGAGTAATTTGTAAGTGTTAAAAAATTAGTTAAATTAATTATTTATAATAAATCCATGTAATATCTTAAAATATTCTTGTTAATTATGTATATTAGAATTTGTTTTTTATAGAAACTTCTTAATATATGTAATTACTGTAGGAATTATTTAGGAGCTAAATAGAAAACATGAAAAATAAAATAAATTGAAATCGTATATTTATGATCAAATTAAATTTATAAATACTAAAAGACAGTTTTATCTCAACAAGAACATGAAACGATACATGACAATACATACTTTGACTTTTAAAAACAGTAACCGAAAAAACACAAGCTATCGTCTTTTGTCTGATTGGAAAAGACATGCCTACAATCTGGAGATTAATTGTCCCCAACACCCACCTGACACGCTTTTACACACTGAGTTTGGCAGACTGGTTCACGGAAAATCTGGGATGCAGGGAGAGCAGCTCACTTTGGTGTATAACCTTTAGAGTGCTCTGCTGGAAGCCATGGGGTGCACGCAACAAACTGACTTTCAACCAGGAGCAGACCCACAGTTTCCGCCTAACCAATGAGACCATCGCTTTTGCAAATCATATTCTTGAGGCTAGGAATTTTTGTAGTCATTCACAATAGCAACGATGCAATGTTGGGCTGCACACATGAAATAGAATTAGGAAATTTCTAGAGGGCTCACGGGCAGAAAACAATATGCTGTCTGGGTGGTGTAGTTGGTTATCACGCTAGTCTCACACACTAGAGGTCCCCGGTTCGAACCCGGGCTCAGACACGTTTACCTATGTTTGTAGTTTTGTTGTCTGGTTTTTTGTATTTCCTTTTTTCCCATGATGCATAAATGCTGAGAGAATGATAGATTAGCTAAATCCCACAAGTCCCCCAAAAAAGTTTTCTCAAAAAAATTATATATATTAATTCATATAATTGTAAATAGATATCTAAGTTATGAACTAAATTCTACATTTAAAATTTAAATACTTGATTTGCAATAGTCAAGTTTCCTGCAACATTTTTAATAAATATTTATAAATATTGATTCAAGAAGTTATAAATGGGACCGCAGTTGTTAATAAGGTTTTACATCTGAAACTTAGTACTTGTTTTATAATTGACACTTTAGGATTCACGATAGTTTAAATTAATATTTGTAATTCATTTTGTAGAAAATTTTGTAAGTCGACTACCTCTTATATTAAACTGACAATTTCTGGACCTAATAAGAGTCATGTTCCCTCAAAAATTAAAGTGTTTCTTTTCTCTTATATATGAAGATTTTAATTTGGAATTTTTTAATTCTACTTTTTTTAAGAAAAAATATTATGCCAACTAATAAAGCCTGTTTTTAATGTTATCTCAAAAGACCCTTGTTGGGTTTGATATATACTGCGACAAAACCATCCCTCCTCATGAGAAATGTCACAAATTCAAACCTGTGCAATTTCATATTTTCACGACAACAACTACCAAATATATACTACTCCTAGCTAGCCTCTAATATAAGAGCTTGGAAATATTTAAAAAATAAGTTAAATTAGTTATTTGTAAAAAAAATAGAGGTTATTTTTTAAAAAAATATCTTATTAATCATGTATATCGAAACTAATACCTCTTGATGAAACTACTTAATATATGTAATCATCATAAAGATTACTCGAAGGCAAAATAAATAAATGTTATAGATAAAATAAATTTGGGTATTATATTTAGAATCAAATTCAATATCTAATTAACTCTTATATTAAGGAATTCATCTTCATAATCATATGTAATCCAGCTCACCGCCCCACTTAGCTTGAACTTCTGTATACATTATTTTTTTCTAGTCAAGTAAAATTAAATCAGTATTTATATGCATATTATCGCTTTTTCCTACGTCTAATAATAGGGCGAACAAAGATTAATTAACACCACTAAACAGCAGTACATAAACCTGTTACATTTATGAAATCTAAAATAAGTCATATTACATTTGTATCGTCAATAATTTTTATGAATATATTGATATTCATTATTACCTCAAAATTTCTAAACACAAAAATCACACATTGACAAACTTTCTTTAGCATTGCATGTACGTCTATACACAGTGGACAATTTTTACTTTTTGTTTCGAAAGGTCTTTTACGTTCTTTTTATAAGAACATTAAAAAAAAAAAAGGTTTTCACATCTGTTTTGAACATACGTAAAAAGTAATAATAATAATAATAAAGGAGATTTTTACTCTTGAAAACAGACTTAAAAACACTCACGTATTTTATTTATATGAATATGAATGATGCAATTATTTTCGGAAACTAATTAATTAATAGTAAAACATCATGATTACATATAACAATTAGTGACCAACTGATACTCTTCTTCATGCTTGTACGGCGTAGAGAATGGATTAGGTTATTGCGTAGGCAGTGACATGGAGAGGAGGCTTATCTCTCCACAAGCGTATAGATTAGGAAAGAAGATTACATACATTATACACATGCGTTAAACTAAATTAAACACCAAAAAGCTATATAGTACCTCTTGTTCTTAATACAAAAACTCATTTAACTTTTATTTTGGTTATAAATATGAGCTCCAAATCCATTTTAGCTCTCATATCTATTTATTTTTTTAATATAGTTTTTATAATAATAGTAGTTCTACCTAATAACATTAATTAGCAAGAATATTTTAGAAAAGGCAACACATATTTATTACAAATAACTAATTTTTTTGACCTACTCAAATTAGTCAACTAGCTGTTATATTAAGGACTGAAGGCAGCACATATTTATATTATTTTATCTTATTTTATTCACTCTCTCTAGTCAAACTTTTGACCAAGCAAAAATTAGATAAGTGTTCCACACCCTCCTCGACCACGTTGACCAATATTCCACATGTCCATTTTATCATACTCCAAACTTATTTTAATAAAATCTGATATGTATATAGACATTATTTTGTCCACGATGATAACAATTAAGATCGTTAAATTTTAGAAAAATTTAAAATAATTGCTGGACCATACGTTGGCTATTCCTCTCATTAGTGCATTGACCATTACACTAAATCTATCCACACACCCTATAAAATATAAATAATATAAATAATGATATCAGAATTAGAGAACCGAAAATATACTTTTTAAAAATTAAAAAGATTAATTAAAATTCTATGTAAAGTGAGAGGATATATTTTTACCAACTAAATAATAATTGAGGAGTTAGGGTCTATCCATATGGTCTGGCAAACCCAAAAAAAAAAAAAAAAAAAAGCTACACAAACAAAATTCAAATCAATCTTAAGAAACAAATTTTCTATATAAGGGGGTAGGTGAATGAACCTAATCATGCAATTTGTGGAAGCACGCGGCGATCAGACGTCGTTACCCTATAGTTTCTAGTATTTCTGTGTGCCAATATTCTCATTCGCTTTATATTTCATTTCTATATATACTACTTCACTTGTGATTTCTTGCTATCCCTTCCAATCATCTCGCAACATATATTGGCTTCTTCTTCAAACCCATTTTCGATCATCACCATTCTCATTTCGTTCACAGAGCTTCATCAATCACAATGTCCTCCGATCTCTCCGTTATTCTACCTCGTGTTCTCATCGTCTCCCGACGAAGCGTTCGCAAGAACAAGTTCGTCGATTTCGTTGGTCAGTTTTCTTCATTAAATTTTTCAATCTTGCATGTCGCAGATGTTAGATCTATGATCATGAATGATTAAACTTGCTATTATTTTGTGGTTTTTTTCCCCATTTTGTGGTTTTTTTCCCCCTTACTTCCAGGAGAATATCATCTAGATCTTATAGTAGGTTATGGCGCAGTACCAGTGATTGTGCCTCGTGTTACTGGGGTTCATATGCTATTAGAAAGCTTCGAGCCAATTCACGGGGTTCTTCTTTGTGAAGGAGAAGATATAGATCCTTCTTTGTATGGATCAGAGGCCTCAGGCCTATCACCAGAAGAACTAGAAGAAATCAGGAGACTTCATGCCAGTGATACGTCCCTTGATAGAGAGAAAGACTCAATTGAATTACGCCTGGCGAAGCTATGCCTTGAAAGGAACATACCCTATCTGGGAATCTGTAGGGGCTCACAGGTTCTAAATGTTGCTTGTGGGGGTACTCTATATCAGGACATAGAGAAGGAGGTATCAAGCAAGTGTCCTAAAAGCCAGAGAGTGATGCATATAAACTATGACGATTATGATGGTCACAGGCATGAGGTGAAGGTGGTGGAGAATACACCATTGCACCAATGGTTTAAGGAGTCTCTGGAAGAAGAAGTAGGGGAAATGAAGATTAGGGTTAATAGCTATCATCATCAAGGAGTTCAGAGATTGGCTCAAAGGTTTGTTCCAATGGCTTTTGCACCAGATGGTTTGATTGAAGGGTTTTATGACCCAGATGCTTATAATCCTGAAGAGGGTAAGTTCATCATGGGATTGCAGTTTCATCCAGAGAGAATGAGGAAACCAGATTCTGATGATTTTGATTACCCAGGATGCCCCTTTGCTTACAAGGTACAATAATGAATGCTTTCTGTTTGTTGTTTTCTAGGAGGATTACCTGTGGATAATAATTAACTTGGATTATAGCACTGAATCTAATGGAGAAGTCAACATGTGCAGGAATTCGTGAAGGCAGCAATAGCATATCAGAAGAAGCTGAATGCTGCAACGCCCATTGAGAAGCCTCTAAAGCTTAACAAGGAAATGGAGGACAAAAGGAAAATCATAGTGAGAAGCTTTTCAATTGCTAAAAATCTTTATGATGCTGGCCGAGGGATGCATCCCTCCAACGATTCTGAACTTAAAGCTGGTGCAGAATTTCTTGAGGTACTTTACAGATTCAAATTGCAAATCTTAATGAAACTGATATATATATATATATATATATATATATATTAAGAACTTAGCTCTATTTTGTCTGTGGGCTGGTTATGGTCAGATACTTAAACGATCAAATAAGTTTTAATTTGTACTTTTCGATTTCCTGTCATTAAAATACGATGAATATTTTTGGTCTGTTTCTCTGTTTCTGTAGTCAAACACAGCACTGAGTGAGCAGCAAGAGAAAAGGTTAAAGCAGATGGGAGCAACAGTGAGGAATGGAGGGTCATACATAGAGAGATTGAAGATGAATGAGGAGAGAGAAAAAATGGCAAGAAAAGTTATGGCCAAAATGTCAGTGGAACAATTATCTGAGCTCTTGTCTTTCTATCATACCATGGGGCAGATTTGTTCTGAAGTGTTGGACAAAAATATACATGGCCTTGTCAATGACCCCAGTTAACTGATGTCTTTATATATATGACTTTCTCTCCTTCTATGCTTTTCTGTCTGAGAATTGTTGTAATGGTTCTGATTTAATCTTTATATATAGACCAACAACTTTCCTTCAAAAGAGCAAGCCACCTGCAAATACAAGTGCACGAGTTACAAAATCCCCTCTTTAGCCTTGATTTGATTAGCTTTGTAGCTAAGATGAATTACTGTATTATATTTCTTGTAATCTATAAAATATAAGGCATGCAGGTAAACACTAATTTAGTGTTGGATATATGTATTGGACAAAATCTAAAAAGACCAAGTTTGAATTGTGTTCATGGTTCAACTGTTTCTTTCCCAAGAACTTCAAGAGCAAGACCTATATAAGGCCCTCACATTCTCCTGCTACTGGTTAAGATGTCTCCCTCCAATCAACCTCTTCACGTGTGGAAACATCACAGGTTCTGGTTTTTCCAGCTTCCATAGCGTCAGGTTTCAGACGAAACTTTTCTTATAAAATAAGTGGGGTTGCTGATGAAAGAGACAAATTAAAGAAATCCGTTTGGTATGAAGTATTAAAAATGAAAGATAAAAGCTGTGATTGAGATTGAGAAAACCTTTATGGATTTGTCCAATCCCAAGTAACAAGTAATCTTTCATACTAAATATATTTTTAATAAATTTTCTCAGCTCCAATTCTTACCTCTTATTTTCACTACTTCATACCAAAAAGCCGAGTTATGAACAAAGGATGTGATTATTGTATGCCCCAGCTCCTTCTTCTGGGTACAGTAACATTGTTCAGAATATGAAGAATGTGGTGGGTGTATGATATCAGGGCGAGTCTGCGGTTTTGACGCAAGATGGAATGAAACAATCAGTTAGTGTCAGGGTCAACAATATGCTATACCAAATAAACCAGATAACGAGCCTCATCCTAATGCTTAGTTGCAACTATATGACAACTCTTTTCGGTTCTGAATCTTGGGACGTTGTTCAGTCATCCTTCATCCCATATTAGGAAGAGAGGAAAATTTTGGGGGGAGAAAATATGAGTCAGGAAAAATAAAAGAAGAAAAAGAGAGAAGTGGGACCTTCAGTACTACAAAAAGAGAGAAGTGGCATTTTTATAAATAAATGGTATGACTGTTAACTTTTCACAGCGGCTATAAAGATAACTGTTGTGGAAAGTAATTTTACCGGTGGTTAAAAAGAATAACCACCGTTAAAAATACTTTTTACGGAAGTTATTTAAAGTTTTAAATAACCCTATCCCGTGTTCTGTCCTTCTCATTTTCACAATTTTACACAGTTAGTGCGCCGTGGTCCCCTTCTATCCCCCCACTATCGAAACTGCAATATCAGTAAATCCCCATTATTTCCTGCAGTGTTTGGCCTTCCATTGTTACTCTTCTCACGTTTTAATCTTCTCTCACTGAGTGAGTTTTCTCTTCTTTCATTCTTTTTTTTTCTTAGTGTCTTGGATGTTTTAATAATAGAAATCTGTTGTATTTCAAATGGATTGATTGGTTTTACATTTTAGATGTCTTCCATTATTTATTTTGCGTTTCTTTTGTACTTGAGGGGTTGGTTGGTGATATTTGGAGTTAGAAAACCTCAATTACTTCCTATACTCGAAATTAGAAACATGTTTAAATGTTTAAAATTGATTAATTCTTAAGTTTTTAATTTTTTTAATAATTTTTTATATTTTATTTTGAATTTTTATCAAATTTTTGTAATAAATTTAAGAATTTACTAATAAATACTCTGTTAAGTGTTCTGGCCAATTTTTTTCATTGTAAATTTTCATTGATGATAAAATATTGTTTAAAATTTCATGACAAATGGATATCATTTGTATTCTCATTTTGGATTCAGAAATTTTAGCTTAAAGAATCTTTATTTATTGAATTGATTTGAGATTGGCTTGTTCCTTGTGTTTTGTTAGTTATAGTTCTTCAAATTTATCTTGTATTTGTTTATTATATTGTTGGATGGTTGATTAATTGATTTGTCTATTTTTTAAATAAGTTGGGATTTGTTATATTTAAGGGAAAATTCTGTCAAAATTTTTATAAAATAAAAAAGACATTACCTTTAATTTGTAATTAAGTGTTAGTCAATTTTAATTTATTAACTAACACTTAATTATTTTATTTATTTGAATATTTGAATTGAGTAGTTAGAATTGAGCTTGACAGTGCAACTATACTCATTGACTCTATAGAACAATAGATCGTAATTAGATGAAAGCTAAAAAAACTAGCAAAGAATATGAGGATGGAGTTGAAAGGTTTTTTGAGTTTGCTCAGAGAAGTGCTCCTAGTAAAAGAGATGGTTTGTATTGATGTTCTTGTTTCAAATGTTTAAACAATAGTCGGCAAAGTATTCATGAAATAAGTGAGCATTTTATTTGTGATAGAATAAATTTGAAGTATACAAATTGGATATGACATGGTAAAATTAGAAAGACTACATTGTCTGAAAAGGAGAAGGTTGTGAATGATGACTTTGGTGATAGAATTTCAGATATGTTTCATGACATAAGGTCTGAGTCCTTTGCACCGTTCTCTTGCACATGTGAAAACTTGTGTAGTGATGCAGAGACGCCTTTGTACCCAGGATGTAAAGATGATACACAAGTAATTTCTTTCTATGTTTCAGGATTCACATATGATTAAAAGTGGGAAGGATAATAATAATCAGACGCAACAACTGACAGTGTTTGACCCTGACCCTAGCCCTGACCCTGCCTAAGGGACTGCCATGTGCTTTTTATGTGGACTTTGAATATTCATCTCTTCATGTCGCTAATGGTTGAGCATTGTTAGGCACAACGATCCATGGCAAGAAAGTTCCGAAGGATCAAGTGAGGGTGACAGTGGATAAGGTTCGTAGTAGTCAAGGTGGTACACCAGTACCCATCTCTATTGATGAGGTTCGACTACTGGCTCAGGCTAAAAGAAATTTCATTTTGTGGCCAAAGAGACTTGTTAGAAAGCCAATAGCAGCGAAGAAGGTGACAGCAAAAAAGGTGATAAAGAGTGTAGGTCCTGTCCTCCAGCCTCTTCCTAATCATATTGGGGTTATGTATGGAAGTTTGGCACTTCTTCATTCTATGGTGGAAAATATGAAAAACCCCTTTACTTTCAACATGCCACTGGGGATTATGGGTTCAGATGTAACATACGATTTCATTATTGACAAGAAGGACCTCATTCAATCCCTCAACTTTGAGTAGCTGGATATAGTCTTCACGCAACTAGCTATTTTATAAGTTACAATGTCAATTTCTTATTTCATGTTATACTTATGTATGTCCTAATATTTTTTATTTGAACAACAGGCACTTTACTTGCGTTTGTCGACATAGAGGACTTGAGGGCACACATGGCTTTATGTGCCCTCAAAAGGTACAAAAATAATAAATACTATGGAAGCAAGGTTGATCTGCATGATGACCACAATAACTCAGATGAAAAAAAAATTATATTTTGCACCTTACGTGGAAGGGTAAGTATATTATTGTATATGAAATATACAAGTTATATATACAGAATTATAATTAACATAGTTCGTATTTTATACTTATCATGGGACCCTAATTGTTTTTGCCTCCTTTGACAACAAAATTTACTGGTTCAATTCCCTTCGCAGAAGTCCACAAGAAGAAACCAAAAATGTTATTGACACGTGAGTTTATATTTATACATTTCTTACATGTAAAGTTTGCAAAAACATGCTCTAATATCATTTTCTTCTGATTACTAATAGGGTTTTTCATGGTTTTAATATTGTGGCCAAGGAGAAAAATAAGCCACTAGCAAGATGGATTCTCCCACAAGTATGTTATTTTGAACTAAGTATATGCTTATAAATCTTTTCAATGATCAAAGTTAATGTTTATAATTTTTTTTAATAATCAAAGTTAGATATTCAATTTTACATTTTATTTTGTTAGTACTGTTGTCAATCTGGAAGTGTTAAATATGAATATTATATCTGCTATATAAATGGCATTATTAAGATTGGGGTTACTGAGAATTTAAACAAGGTAAATATAGGTTAATTACATTTCATCTAATTCTTCAATTCTTTTCATATTTTTGATCAAGTTGACTAATGACTATGTTGTTTTAAATTTACAGGCATTCTAAGATAGTGTGCCATATGACACTGAGAAAATCAACTTGATGAGAGATACTTTAACAACAACATTGCTTGAGAATTTTGAAAATATGAAATAGTTAAGTCATTCATCACATTTTAGTTCATTGTTTGATCATTAACTAGTTGAGTAGTTGTTGATTATAATGTGTAGATGATTGAATAAGAATTGGATGTTAGTGTTAGGATAAACGACTTGAAATAGTTTTGCATATTCTTCTACTCTGCTGGTTGTATTTGGCTCTGTAAATTATAAGGAAGTTATAAAGAAAATTTACTTAGGATTTTAAAAAAATCTCTTTTTAACGGCAGTTATTCGTATAACCGCCGTTAAACATATTTTTAATGACGGTTATATATTAACTGCAATTAGAAGTTGTATTTCTATGATGGTTTATTTAGTGAAACCGCCATGGAATATAAATTGCTATGAAAAGTTTACTTTCGATGGCGTTTTAAAGAAAAACCGCCTTGGAAAGTCTTTTTTCATGACGGTTAGAAACTGCTGTGTTTTATTCTCCTTACAACATCAATAGAATTTATTTCGTCTCTAAAGCTTCTGCGAAAAATCTTTTTTAACCGCGGCTTTTTCTCTAGTAGTTCTTATTTTTCTCAAATTCTCTCGCATTGTAATGAGAAATTTTGAGAAGAAAAGATTTATTCCCTGGCTGTCCTTACTCCCTCTTAACTTCTCCCGGCCATTCTCCACATTGGCGTGCCTCTCTTTACTTCTGACGTAACTCATGCAAATCAAATTAATACATCCGTATTAGTTTACAAGAGTTAAATAAATGAATTTGATATAAATAATAAATATTAAATATGAGAAATAAAATAGATCAAAATCTTATATTTAGTACCAAAACTAATGCTCTAATTACGCATACATATGGGAGGTGTATATTTTTCTGCCAAATAATTTGGTTTTAAAATATTTCAATGATATTAAATTTAATATAATTTTTCATTCAATTTATTTTGATATATGGGGATAATTGTCTGACACATGATGTGTTCTAACATAAAAGTATTATGATTGTTGTGACATTTCCTCATTTTCTTTTCTCCATGTTCACTTTTAATGTTTTATTCATCATGTAAA